CTATTTCATAACTTTACTCGTGGTCACTCTTTATATTAGTTTTATTAGAAAGCACAAAGGAGGAGATGAGAGGAAGCAAGGAAGGTGGCTCGAGGGAAGATGAAGTGAACCAAGGAGAGGTAACGTGTGCGAAAGTGATCGCCGAAATGAGCGCATGAGGGGCCTCTAAAACAACTCCAAGAATGAAACGCAGCGAAGGAAAGGGGAAGCCGGTGGTTAGGCCGGGGGGAAAGCACTCCCAGATAATATTATGTTTGTGGCCATTTTTCTCGGGCTGCCATTTAGTTAGGGCGCCTTCCTTTCGCCAAATGGGACATTCGAAAGACACACGGTTCTTTTATCCAGGCAAACGCGCCTGTATGTTGCTCTGAGTGACCATTCCCGGGGTTGGCCTGGGGGATACCACGTGGCTAACCGACTCGTAAGACTGGAAATATTGCAGAAATAGATTGCTGCATTTATTAAACTATATTTGTCCGTGTGTAAAAAAGCTTTTAGCCTTTCGCCCACCAAAATCACACGGGCCAGAATGTTTGTATGTGTGTATAGGAGTGTGTGTGTTTTTGTGCATTTGTGAAAGAGAGAGAAGAGGGAGAGAGGGAGGGAGGGAGAAAGAAAGAAAGAGAGGGAGAAGGGGAAGAGAAGAGAGAGAAGAGAAGAGAGAAAAAAAAACATAGTTGATTCTTAGAAGAAAGGCACTTTCGTTCAAGCTCTGATTCTGTACTAATCTTTGGCTGCCAATGCCGTGTATGTATGTATGTATATATATGTGTGTGTATATATATATATATATATATATATATATATATATATATATATATATATATGTGTTGTGTGTGTGTGTGTGTGTGTGTGTGTGTGTGTGTGTGTGGTGTGTGTGTGTGTGTGTACGTGTGTGTGTGTATGTGTGTGTGTGTGTGTGTGTGTGTATTTCTATGTGTGCCGTATTCCTGCTGACAATGTAGAAAAGGTATGAATGAGAATGGATACCTTCACAATACGTCTCTTGTATTGTAAAGATATTCATTCTCATTCATACCTTTTCTACATTGTGTGTGTGTGCGTGCGTGCGTGTGCGTGCGTGTGTGTGTGTGTGTGTGTGTGTGTGTGTGTGTGTGTGTGTGTGTGTGTGTGTTGTGTGTTGTGTGTGTGTTGTGTGTGTGTGTTCTGCATTTAAAGTGAATATTTAATGCCCGTAGGGAAACGCATATCTCTCTCTGGGATTTTCTGGCATTTGCTAGCAAGTCCTTCCCTTCCTTACATATAACATGAGTATTTTTGCAAGTGTGAACATGGATGTGTGTGATTGTTTAAGTACTGATTGTGTGAAAGAATATGTCGCGCGCGCGTTTGTACAAATTCTCCTCTACGCCATCCATCCACGCTTCGGACGGGAAGCTTGTTAAGGACGAAAACCTCACTGTAAAAGACGGGGCCATGATCTGAAAGACATTAAGGCAGTTACTATGTAAATGGAAGGCGTCGTTAAAGTTGGGTTTCCTCCACTAACAACGCCAAGCTTGCCTCAGCAAAAACATAATTATAATATATTTGGTGATAGAGCAAGTACTGAGGTCTCGTAACACAAAGGGTCCGGCAGCCACCCGCTGTTATAGGCGCGCAATACTACAGGAGTTGTAACGTGTTATACAACTTTGAATGTTTCGTTTTCTAATGATCTTTCGGGAGATGACTGGCCAATGGAAACATAAACGACCTGCATCAGTGTATGTAAGTAAGGATATATGTATATAATGGATGTGTATACCTCTGCGCCATACACAAAGATACACCTTTACATATTCACACACACACGCACACACATGGACACTCTTGGGTCTGTGCCTTTGTCTTTCTCCTTTTATGCCTTTCTCTCCCTTCTACTTATCTAATTTAGTAGCGTATTTGTTTATTTCTGGCGGATTGCAGCGGGGGCTAGAGACAGCGGTCGGGTGAGGACGGGTGGGAGAACGGCCCAGCTGGGTTACGGCCTCGCAACATGCCACAGGATCTATACTGTGGCGCTGCCTTCTGCCGAACACTTCTTATTTCTCTCGGGTCGGCAAGCAATCCGAGTTAATGAACACATGTAAATAAAGCCCCCGACTCGAACTGCAACACAGCGCAGCGCACCAGGCCCTTTTCAGACGCGTCCTCCCCTCCACACGCCCGCAGAAAGCTATCTCCCTCGCTTATTTCCGGAACATCACGCTGTATTCATTCTCGGTGTACGATTGTGAAATACGCCCATTGTTCCCCGGATCCTGGGCGCGCTTCCCTCGTGGGCGCCGCTCCCGTGACTCGCCTTGTTACTTGAATCATTCATGCTCGAAGATTTCCAACATGGCGGGCCTGTCACGGAATGCCGCGAGCCAAAATGTCCGTCTTGGTCATATCCCGGGGATTTATAGGGCAGATTGTGGATTCTGGATGTTATGGACTTGTATCGTGTTTTTAGCTGATTATTTATGGTATCTGGCAATATAAGCTGGCAGGTTCCGCAGGCAAGTCGGGCCCTCATTCTTTCTGATGCAGCCGGGCGGAAGTCTCTCGCTCCAGGCATAAAGAGAAAGAATTCGGTCTTGGCCCATTTGTTATAGATGTTATGTCCGCCATCAAAGAACTCCGTGCATCACTCTCCGAAGCTGCTGCACGTTGAACCGTTCATATTGTTGATAGGGAGCGGGGAGGGGAGGGAGGGGAGGGGAGAGGGATTACAGAGAAGGAGGAAAAGCGAGGGTCGAGGAAGAAGAGAATGAGAGAGCGTCAAAGAAAAGTTCTTGTGAGGGATGCGAGCTCTAGGTAACAAGAAGAAAAGGTGATACGGAGAACTGAAACAGAGAGGGAGAACGAGAAGGGGGAATAGGAAGACAGAAGACTGAGAGAAAGAGGGAAGAGCGGAGACGGAGAAGGCGGCCACACAAGAAAAGCAAAGATAGAAGTTCCCCGCAACCCCGGGTTATTGATTGCAGTCTTGGCTTATTTATGGCTGTCTCAGTACTGGCTAGACTGGACGTGTATGATGGCCAAATGTTGGTTCTCTAAGTCCTCACACACATTTAGGCTTTTCTGGCCCCCGGCGTGCACACCATCAGCCTCCTTTTTGCCTCCACCGCTGCTCACGCTTGTTATCTACCGCTGAGTCCGCCGCAGCCCTCCACGCGAGACTTACTACTGGTGGGTTCAGCTGCCTTCCTGCATACCGGGTAATAAATATCAGATGTTAGTGAGTTCAGCTGGAAGTTATGTGTTGCTGAGACACACTCTGCGGCGCCAGTATATTGTTCAC